GTTTGTTTGTTTGTTTGCTTTTTTTTTTTCAAATTTTTCAAAGATAACAAAGATGTTTTTTTTATTTTCAAATCACATTATGCTTTTGTGAATTGTTTGAATTAATTGTTGAGACAACAGAAGAAGATAAGTGAGAAATTTTTTTGAATTTTGATGAAAAGATATTTTTGAACAACAGTTAAATTTGTGAAATAACAATTAAAATCAACTGTTGATATTATTGGCATAAGAGATGGGAAAAAAAGAAAGGATACAAATATAAACAAAAAAAACTTGAATATATACATACAAAACCAGAAAAACATTTGAACGAGTGATGATTTAGACTGAATGATTTAAGAATGTTGGCGTTTTGACAATCACAATATCAGAAATCCATTGAAATCGTAGCAGATCTGTATTGATACTGCTGCTACTGCTTTATCAACTGTTCATCAAAAAGTGATCGCGATTTTTGACCTGTTCACAGTAAAAAACTTTTTAAAGATTGCTTATAGATCAGAAACGAACGCCTACAATTAACGGCTTTGAGTAACTTGAATATCGACCAGCGCCGACAGTAACGATTAAGATAGCAACTGATTAAATTTTCTGACGTTCCTAAGCTGCACGACAAAATCCACAGGTTAAGGGGCACTGATCGAGCATTAATTTATGGAAGACTTTATTTTGACATAAATGTTTCACTTGTGGGCAGTTCGATTTACCATCTGGTGTGTCTTTGTCAAAACAGGAACCTGCTGAAAAACTGACTAATTTATTTTTAATTATTTTCTGTCTTCAGTTTCTTTTTCCAAAATTCAGTGCACTATTTCAGAATTTCACATTTTTTAAAACTTTCCTAGCAGTAAATTTTCTTTTCCCCTTTTAGTTTTACTTTTTCGAAAAAAAAAACCAAGCCCAAAAATAATTATATAGAAATAAGAAGGTAAAATTTGATTTATCAATAGTAGCTTTATTTTGCAAGGTAAATTCAATAAAGTGCAAAATCATTTAGGTAAAATTATTAGCAGAAATCGTTAAAGAATTAAAGAAAGAAGTGAAAGTGAAGCGATCAAAAATCAAATTTTGTTGCTTAAATCAAATTTTTTTATTTGAAATCTTAAAATTTTTGATTTTTTCGAAATTTCGAAAAAAAAAA